GCAAGCACCATTATGTTCTAAAAACATCGATAGCACTGAGGAATAACTCATTGGTTGTTGCAGGCCATCGACCACATTATTAATTCTGCTGCAAAATCAAATTATATGTCAGCTGGTCAGATTTCAGTGCCTATTGTTTTCAGGGGTCCAAATGGTGCTGCTGCTGGTGTTGGGGCTCAACATTCCCAGGTATAAGTTTAATTTTGTCCGTCATTATTTTCTTCTCCGTATCATGCTTCAGATCAAGATTGTATAATTTGCTGCTAACATCCAAGGAAGTGTTTTCTTGTTTTTTCTTTCTCGTTACTAATGGTAAAAGGAGTGTGGAGAAGGATGCCTTCTTTTGGTGTGAAAATGGGCTCAGTTTTAAATTATTATAAGACTATAATACATAAAACAATAAAATTAGATGTTGGTGCACCTTCCAATTTTTAATATAGCCATCTTTTGACATTGTCTTCTTGCGAGGCATGCAAACTTGCAACTGCTGTTCTACAATTCAATATTTCCTACCATGTCACTCACTGCGTATCTCTTGCAGTGCTATGCAGCATGGTATGCTTCATGCCCAGGATTAAAGGTTCTGGTTCCATATTCATCAGAGGATGCTCGTGGCCTGCTGAAAGCTGCTATAAGGGATCCAGATCCTGTTGTTTTCCTTGAAAATGAATTGCTGTGAGTGTTAAGATTCCATTCGATGCTTTTAATTTTTGTTCCCACCCTCATTTTATGTTACTAACTCTTTGTGTCACAGATATGGTGAATCATTCCCTGTTTCTGCCGAAACTCTTGATTCCAGTTTTTGTCTTCCAATTGGGAAAGCTAAGGTATATTATCCTAAGGTTAATTGTACTTCTGCTTACATCATACATAATAATAACTTATCTCTCTTCAATTTTTGTTTGGCAGATCGAACGCGAGGGAAAGGATGTTACAATCACTGCTTTCTCAAAAATGGTTGGCTATGCTCTTCAGGTGGGTCAGTCTATTTGTGCATGAATTGAATAAAATTGAATCATATATGCCCGTGTTTGTCACCTATCTAATTTATAAACATAATCGTTCAAACCCATTTTTTCCACACATTTCTTAAAATCCACAAGTACTACCCACTTATTCATCATTCACTTCTATCTATTTATTTAAAACGATTATAATCTATTCTGAAACAAGTGCTATGACTTCCGCAGCACCAATTATTTTCCACCAATGAGCGGAAAGTTTTATATAACAAATTTGAAGACAAATGATATTACAAAAACAAACTAGTTCTTTCATTTGGGAAATTTAACTATTCTACAGGTTCTGAATGGTCTTTCCCTCTCATGTTTTATAATAGAATTCAAGTTAGGGTGTTACTTATTATTATGTATAAATTTTCGATCTTAAATGTTCTACTTTTCCATGTGGAATCTATATAGGCTGCTGATATTCTTGCGAAGGAAGGAATTAGTGCTGAGGTAATTTAGCCCCCGTTTGATCTACATTATTATATTAAAATGAAAAATATGATCGTTGTCCATCGCATCAACATTTAAATTCAATTTTTCTATCTCTTATGTGGGCCCCATAACGGCTATAGTTTTCATTCTCATTCTACAATAATTTGGCTCAAACAAGGCATAATAATGTTATTCAATTATCTACGACATCTTGAAATATGGTGTTTTAGAAACTTGGTTTATTGGGCTTCCTTTGTTTCTTCAGGTGATAAATCTTCGCTCGATTCGCCCCCTTGATAGGTCGACTATAAATGCTTCTGTAAGGAAAACCAATAGGCTTATTACTGTCGAAGAAGGTTTCCCTCAACATGGCATTGGTGCAGAGATCTGGTTACTTTCTTTACACAACTGAATCTTCCCTTCCCCATCTCTTTCTCCTCGAGTAATGGTTTCCCTTTTATCTCACCAATGTATTTATGATTATTTACATTTCTTCAGCGCATCTGTTCTTGAAGATAGCTTTGAGTACCTTGATGCCCCTGTTGAGAGGATTGCCGGGGCAGATGTTCCCATGCCCTATGCTGCAAATCTTGAGAGAATATCCGTCCCACAGGTTAGTTTGTGTTGGGCTTTTTCCTTTTATTCTTAACGATATGTTCTTTGGATTTAAGAATGTGTTGTACCAATACATATGTAGTTAACCATAGTGTTATGTTACGTGAATAAAAGAAATGGTTTTTGTATTTTATAATTGCTTCTCTTATACGTAATCCAATGAATGTTTCCCTCAACTAGGGAATACAATGGAAAAGGCGGTAAATATTGGCTTCTGTTTTGCCGCAATTTGTATGAGTTGTGGATGAGACTATTTGGATTAAATGTTGAACAACAGTTGACTTTCATCGTGTATAATTTTGGGCTTAAATGTTTATTTTCCTTTAAACATCCTGCTATGTTATATGAAGATTGTGAGCTTTATTAAGTGCCCTTGGGTTCACGGATAGGCATTCCTATATTTGTTTCTTCCTTTTCTCATTATACCCTTTATTTTTATTTTACTTTTAATTTTGAATTGAGACTGTAAGTAATCTTTTCACGTCTTTGGAATTCGTAACTCCACTTATTTCTTCATTGTCAATCGAATAATTGTTCGACGCCTAAAATTCTTTTCTATCCTTCAATCCAATCCCCATGTGCACTAGCACTAGTTTGAGATCGCAAGTAACCTTCTTTAAATTCCTTCGGAAATCCCAACTCCACTTGTTTCTTTATCATCAGTCGCATAGTTGTACTATACCTAAGATTCTATTAGATCATTCATCTCAATCCCCTTGTGCACCATGACTAGTTTGATGTATACGTTTCAGAATAATTCAGAAATTGGGGCTTAGATCTAAAGATTAATTTGTCCTCCACGGTTATTTGCTTATTCCATATATATGTACTATAGGGAGAATAAACAAGTTAAAAGATCATGTGTGCAAGCCAAAAGAGAGAACTAGCCAACACCAGAGCTCCAAAATAAAACGGGAACTGGAAAATCTTTAGATACATAGTAGAAACATAATAGGAAATGAGATATAGACTACTTTCATACCGTGTTATTATTTTCTCGGTTTCCATTTAAACGATCCTTTATGTTGTTGAACTCATTATCTGATCTTGTTTTGATGCTTTGAAATCTGTTGTTCAGGTTGAGGACATTGTTAGAGCAGCAAAGAGGTCTTGCTACAGATCAAGTTCATTGGCCGCAACTGCTTAAAAGTTGCAATTAACAAAAGGTTTTGTCAATTCTAGATTTTTCTTTACCCCCGCGTGGTGTGGGTTTTTGCCCTTTCCTTCTCTGGTTGACCAGTTGCTACAAAATAAGATTAAAAACATTGATGGGATACAAGTTTCTAAAATTTCCTTCTAATTTTGTCACAGTTGGAAGAAGATTAATCTGTAAGAAAACCAACGAAGCTGAGTGACGCAAAGCCATTGTTGTTATTCAAGTTTTGTCTGCAAAATTTGTTACTTTTTGTGTTCTGATTGCATATTTCACCACATTCATTATGTTTGCAGTATCTTCATTTTTTTACCCATAATGCGACTACATGATGCATGACTATATATGTGTCGCGTCATATTCTTCATAAGCTCCGATTTGACACTCCTCCTGTCGAGCTTTTGCAGTGTTAGCCGAGGATATCTTTCATCCTTTCTACCAGCAAATAATTTTATGATCAATAATTTTTCGTGCTGATTCTCTCTCTAACTGAATCGATGCTTACGTAAAATATGCATGTGAATGTATCTTCTGGATTCGAGAAAAGTTGGTACAATTGTGTGGATGAAAATGAAGAGGACTTGTGTTGCAATTAGGAGATGACAAATTGACCCGATCTTGCTCCGAATGAGACGGGAATCTCCACTCCATTTAGTAATAGTTAGGATGGGAACATGGTCCTTGTACTCAACCTGCTATGACTATTATTTTTTTCGTTTTTGATATTCTATTTTATGTTTTCCAACTTATATTATTTTAAAATTATTACAATTTAAATAAATAAATAAACGGGACGACGAATAATTTATTTTAATACCTGCCTTGACTTTTGAAAATTCCTTGATAGGGGCAAGGATTTTTTTTATTTTTTATTGAGAATTATCATTTTTGTACTTGAAAATCAAGAAATTTTAATTGAATTTTTGAATGAATATAGAATGTGAACATTCGATCACGAATATACACCCAAAAAAATATTATAAATAAATAAATAAATACAGATAATATATTTTTCTTTATCGATTGATAAATTTATCTCGACCTTAGATGACCGTTGAAATGGAAGATTTATAGTTAATATAAAGAATTGTAAATGGCGATAAATTGCGTTGTTAGTTCTGCAAGTTGATTTTCATCCTTTCAATATAGTTATACAATGAGCTTCTAACTACGTATTTCATCTCGCACGTGGCCGTCAAGATTATGATTAACTTCTGACATTAAAAAAGTTGGACAAGTGGAGATGGATTGTTTTCGAAGTTGAAAATTATTATTCTAATATACTATAGTGAAAATATGTGAACTAACAGTAATGTAATTTTCCCCCGGTTGGATTAAGAGTGTCAATTTGGCACGTCGGTTCGGACGGCCTGTGACTTGGTCTGGCTCGCGACTCAGTTCTGTCGAGCCCCATTTTGGAGCATCGGTTTTGGCCCATGAGCAAATTAAAAAATATATATAATTTTTTGGAGCATCGGTTTCGATATACAGTGCTTGCCGCCTCTTTTTATTAATATAAAAAGAAAAAAGAAAAAAGAGCATGCTCGGCTAGATAAGGCCCGAGTCGAGCATAAATTTTTTGGCCGAGCAAAAGCACGTCTTGGGCCAAAAAAAGCATGAACCATTTTTACTAAAATGGAGCTCGAGTTTCGAGTTTCGACTCAACTCGTTGACATCCCAAGGTTGGATTAGGTGATACACTTTGTCAATCATTAAGACTTGAAATTCCATCTTGAAATATCAATCCTGTTAAGAAAAGTAGTACAAGATCTTATATGATGATTATTGATTTCATATTTAAAAGATGTGAGAATTATTCTTGAACATGTCCTTACAAGATGGTATCTCGTTTGAGAACACTAATCCTGAAATTTGATTGCTCGATTGAGCTGTATATATGTCAAATTGCTCGTTTGAGCTTAATGAGCTACAGTACCAAAATTTGAGATCACTATTTAAATGCCAGCTTGTTAAAGGAATGACTCAAATCGTTATATATTAATTAATTTCATCTTCGACCAATGTGGTAACACCACTTCCATGTTAATTATTTAGGTTTCCTTTCTTGATATATTGCATGGAAAATTGGCAATAGCTCAAATGAAACCATGCAGGAAACAAATAGAAAGACACCACATCTACATGTTTCATGAAAAGATGTCAATGTGGGTATTTCAAATAAATCAGATGCAATGAACAAAGTGATCATTTTATCATCTAAATAAGGGGACAAGAAAGGAAGTTTCATTTTTTTCTCTTAACCAAAGATGTAAGCCTTTTTAAAGAAATTTAGTACTTTGCATTGAATAAAAATGACAGAGCACCATTTTGATTAGTTTTTGTGTGGCTAAAGATTTTGTACTGTTTGGACCAAGAATAATGTCCTCTTTTGGGTACATGGCCTAATTAATGCAAGCCAAGGATACAAGAATTTTTAGGTTGAGTTGTTCACACTCTTATTATTCTTAATACATGGTGACATTTTTTAAAACATAAAACCTAAACTTAAGAAACCCCAACTCTCAATTAGGCACGCATTCATGTCCGATATTTTTATATGAATCCATGTTACATGGAGTACATACCTAGTTAACTGAGCATCGACCTTGAAACTTCCCAACCAAAGTTTAAATTACAAGAACAGCGAGTGGTATTGTCTCATATCCTTATTGTGGAAGCTCAATTTTCTGTAAATTCTATTGATCTCATAAATGGGTGAAGTGGGTTTTACCCAACTATGTGAGAAACAATCCAAGCCAGCTGATTGAAATTGGCCGCACAAACTCGAGAAGAGGAAATTGAACTGCGATTATACTGCAGATGGGTAGAGGCTTACCTCTAATCTATCACGTTAACACATTAAAAAATTGCTATTAAGTATTAATTCGACTCAATAGCTATACATACAATCTAATTCTTCTAATCGATAATGAGTTATATTTTACTCTCTTTATGGTTTGGTGATTTCGTTCAAATTTTCAAAGAACTTTGCGGAATGTAAATTTATCATACGATTTAAGTTTTGTAAGAAATAATGCTATGTATTACCACTTAATCTATGTAGCATTGAACCTCACTGCGTTCAATTGATTAAAGATTAAAAACAATACAATCAACAAAGATCTTGCTACATGTAAATACACGAGGGGATACATTTACCATTTGCTAGTGTAAAACACAATCAACTATTTCATCCAATTTTTTTCCTCCACATCATATTTTTAACCTCATATATATGTATAACTTTGATGTACAAGTAGCATAATCCAATTAACAATTAAAGATAGTGGATCCTCCGCCACTTAAATTGGTGCTCATCACTCTTGGTGATAAATAATATTACTTTGTTTCCCCAAAGCTGAATTAAATTGCCGATTAATGCAGGAAAAAAGATTAATGACGACATATTAGCATTGAAAAAAATTAATGCTTTACTTAGTCTATTCCTAAGCAACAAACTTGAGAAACAACAGGAACTTTTTACCTAACCTTGTGTCATTAAGTCATTTAATTTGTGCACTAACTACATTTACAAACAAGGATTATGATTATTAGACAATAACGAGCACCGAAGAAAATGAAAATCTCGTGCTCTTGATTTCTTTTCATTACTGAGTACTAAAAGACAATATCAAATGCATAAAAGAACTAAAATATTATATATTGTACTGCTAGTCCTAAGGGAAGTATAGACACAAGTCCAGATTTACTCAAAAAAATGAGATTGTAGTATACTGTACGTATGCTTCTAATGGCATGTAACGATTCAATTTTTAATTTTCAATTGAATAGTTCAATAAAATTATGTAGCATCACCATTGATTAGCGCCTGTGTAATGGTTAGCACATGTCTAGGTAACATTTGTTAACGTTATTCATAAATAAATTATGGATCTCTACTTTTATTATACTTCCTTCTTAGAAAATATTGATTATTGAATACCAAAAAAGATAAAATCATTTTGTACTATCCATTAATGAGTATCAAAAGACAACATTAAACACAAAAAACAAAATCTTGTAATTTTGTTTCTAGTCCAATACTAATAAATACAATATAAGGGGAAGCAAAGATTAGACACTAAGTCGAGGTTTCACAAAAAATAAAAAAAATATGATCTTAATAGTATGCTAAATTGAGCAGTCCAAATCAAATAATGCTATGCAACACCGGTGCCGATTAGCACCCATCTAGTGTAGGTGGCAGTGGATAGCATTATTTCTAAAAGAAAAATTATGAATCTCTACTTTTATTATACTTCCTTTTCCCTCCTCTTAACAGTAAATGACAAAATCTACCAATTACCGCGGACTTGATATTGAATTATTTCTCCTTCAGTCTCTCCCTATAAATACTATATGTTCCTCAGTTTCTGCAGTAATTCAGAAAGAAGAAGAAAAAGATAGAAGAAATAATGGAAAATACTGGAAATAAATCTCTGCATACAACTCAGAAAATATCATTTGCATCACAAATTCTGTTAAGAGTTTTGGCCATTGCATGTTCATTGGCTGCTACATGGCTTGTCATCACCAGCAAGCAAACAGTTGTGGTTTTCGGGATAGCGGTCAATGCACGTTATAGCTATTCGTCGGCTTTAAAGTAAGATCTATATACATTAATCGTGTGGGCATATTTTTTACATAATCATGCATAATTTTTTTCTGACTTTTGATTTTTGTTGTTGGATGCAGGTTCTTCGCACTTGCAAATATTATTGCTTGTGCATTTTCAGTTCTGTCTTTGTTTATTGTTTTATTCCTTGGTTACAAGGCTGTGGATTCAAGAAATTACTTCATCATCTTTCTTCACGACTTGGTACGTCATTTATAGCATACCTAATACGATATAGACAGTATTAAAGAAGACAAATAAGCAAAAAATTTATACATACTATAATAAGGATTTGAAATTGTTCGACCAACAGATTTTGACAATGTTGTTGATGGCGGGATGCGCAGCAGCAACCGCGATAGGGTACTTGGGGAAATATGGGGAAGGCCACACTGGTTGGACTGGGATTTGCGACCATTTTGCCAAATATTGCAAAAGAATTACATTATCTGTTGTGCTGTCGTTTTTCTGTGTTGTGTTCTATCTTTTCCTCACTGTAATTTCCGCGAATAAATCACGGAAAATTTGAGTTAGATGCTGTTTTTACATTGAAGAAAATTATTCTATAACAAAAATGTTGTTTGAATTTAATGTTGTTTGTATATTTTGATGTTAGTCTTATGCTGTCTTTCAATAGCATTTAAAAGAAGTCGATAAAAGTATTTGAAAGTGGTGTAGACCACAGTACACAAGCAAGATCAGTGACAATGAACTCAACTCGAGTAATAATTTTCACACACAAAGGGTTTGATTTTTCAAGAAATGCAATTCTTTATTCAAAATTAACCCAAAACTTGATGTAGGAGGAACCGAGTCAGACGAGGTCGAGCTATTTGATAGTACATTAATGGTGTAGAGATACTATGAGTTGGCGGATCAGCGCAAAATTAGCAAATAATCATCGACATTTCCTAATTGGGGCATTTTTTGACACGTTTCGGTATTT